CATCCCCAAAAGTTTCTCAGCGGATTTGGGCTGAACTCAGCAAGCGCAGTACAGCCTCAACTCAGATTTGAAAAACATCAGTGGATGGCTGTTTTCTGACTGGTCGGCAGACCGCCAACCGGTCGGCCCTACTGGTCGGCTGCAAAACTGTGGGCGGTCGGGGTTGGTGGTCGGCAGGTATGGAACCCTGCTTTGCAGGAAGTGGTTAGTATCTTTTTGCTTGCGAAAAAATGGCACGTGTTACAGATCCTCAGGTGGGACTATCATGCAGAAATCAAGGTACCTGATTTCTGACCAAATGAGGCCAATCATATGTCGCTTTTGCAACGAGTCTGAACTTCAGACATCAAAGTTCAAACCAAAATCTCATGGTTCCACCCTTTTTTTGTCCTTCTGAGTAAGTTCTTTGTTGTTTGCCAGTTGGAACTTCACAACACACGAAGATGAAATCCAAAGCCACCTGGTATGAGAGCTTGACTTATCGGAAATTCACTGTCGTATACAATCGAGTTTGTAACTTTGTATACATCTGGGTTGGGTGGCTATGACCATCAGCATCAACAACGAAAGGGTAAACTCCGACACTTCGACCCTCAGGCCTCCCTCTTCCCTCTCTGTCATGTCTCCCCCGATTCCAGGTATGGCACGTCTACAGCTCTGGTGCCATGGGCTGTTGACTATTGACTGACTACCGGTAGTCTGCCAGTGACTGCTTCACACGTTGCTTGGTCGCTCTTCGACGCAGCGGCACTCTTCCACACAAGCATGAGCAGAATGAACGAATGACGACAACAGCTGCTGTGCTTTTGTATGTGACAATTCAGCTTCCAGCCTTTAGACTTGCAGACCCAGTTAACCTGGTGCTGTGCCGGCTTGGGCCTCTCAGCCTTGATGTTTCCAGAATATTAGTTCGCCTGTGACTGGACTGAACTGGACTGGACTGGGCTTGACTCGACTGTCTTACTGGATCTTATGCTATCTGGGACCAGGCTGACTGGACTAGGCTAACGGACCTATGATAGACAGATTCTACCTGGGGCGGGACTGACCAAACTACAGGACCTCCCCCTGACTCTACAGTACCGAAATACAGAGGCTACAGGTTCGTCGCATTTTCAATTTCGTGCGACAAATTGAAAGTATCCACTTTTAGGCTTCAGCAAAATTGAGAATTGGCGAGCTCCAGATGACTTGTTCTTTATGTAGCTGTACTGTGTGTACATCAAATTTAGAAAATCTGGAAAAGGAAATCGCAAACTCTGTTGTCTCGTTGTTCCAGATGATTGTCTGGCTATTTTGTGGGTCTGTTTTTTGTTTATTTTAAAAGGGCGATGGCCTTGAGATATGATCATGGAACTGACCCTTCCTAGGTAATTGAGAATTGTTGGCTGAATTGCAGTATTTTACTCATCTGCTTCAAGTGGAGTTTGAACTCAGGTCTGTATTTCAACAGTTCAGGGGTGTACCAACTGAGCTGTTTGTCTGGCTATTTTGTGGAGTTTGAACTCAGGTCTGTATTTCAACAGTTCAGGGGTGTACCAACTGAGCTTTTTGTCTGGCTATTTTGTGGGTCTGTTTTGTTTTTCTTCTATTTTATTTTATTTGCTTTGACAGGCGCATTCACACTCAGGTTTCGGGCTGAACGATGCATTTGAAAAGTCAGTGTTACAACTGATGCGGGAAGCTGCACCATCTACGGTAGATAAATGGCAGTCAATTCCTGTGTTAAAACATCCTTGTCTTCATGCTGGATACAACAAGACATACACTCGATCGAAGGCAACACTGAAGGTTCAGGATGGGAAAGGAGAAACTAGTACCCTTAAGGACAAGAATCGTGGTGGAGTTGAAGTCGAAGTGAGTAATGGCCAGCGTGAACCTCAGAAATTGCGGACTCGTAAAGACCAGAGTAAGGTCCTAGCAGAGGTAAACCCTTGAAACCCAGATCAGTCTTATGATCACAATCACAGTAATCACTTTTTGAAAAATTTAAGTGTTTTATGAAAGCCTACCCAACGTTCCGGCCTCCTTCAACAATCCTTTGTAAGTTTGAAGTTTTATCAAGTCCGACGTCTGTATAACTGTTGTGAGGCCTCAAGGCGGCACCTCAAGGTACCACAGCCCGGTTAGGCCCCAAGTTCCGGTGCTGACGGACTGAGCTACCTGGTCTGGTAGGCAGGTCTATGCAGCCTACTGATGATTTCCCGAAAGTCTGATAAAACAGGCTGTCACGAGCTCCTGGTGTTTTGTGACCTCTAATATATTTTATCTTAGGTTTTGCGAATGCACTCTTGGTTCATTAGTATGTGACAATATGTATGATTAGGTAGCAGTAGTACTCCTCGTTCACCACTGTAATGGCAGAGCCAACCGATAAGCATGCGTGATGCCTTAATGTTTCGTTGTGGTCCTGGGGCAGGTTACTTCCTCATGTGCTGCTTTCTTTTTATTATTTTTCTCTTCTCCTTATTTGTCTCTCCCCATTGTCCGCCTTTCCTGATTCACTTTCTTGATTCCTTCCCCATCCTCCACCAAGGTTGAGGGCAGGAATGCCGCCAGTGTGAAGCAGCACCCATAATTAGGAGGATGAGAGTTTCCTGGCAACCAGCATCGTAGACGTCGAAGTTCCAATCCAACTCAAGAATTTGACGGACGAACTGGTACTATCCAGGTGCTGTGGCTAAGGATCCCTCTGCTCCTTATGCCCTCTCTTTCTATGTCTGTCTGTCTGTCTGTCTAGCCTGTATTGTCAGCACTTCCTTCTTGGTTGCTCTTCTCTCTGCTGTTCTTGTATTTTTATTTTTATTTTTAGATGGGGGCACCACCTACTGGTCCTAAAGACTCCTAGCATTAGTTTCCCCACCTGATTCCATCAGGATTGTAACTCATGCTCTGTTTACGAACATTTAAATGTGCGTTGCCACATGGGCTGGGTAACTCTCTCTATGCTGTTTTTTTTTTTAACAGGGCCTTATGGTCCTGGCTCCATACCCAATCTGGGGAGTGTCAGTCCGGTTCCTATTCCCCGGCAAGCAGGGTTGCATACCTGCCGACCGCGAACCCCGACCACCGACCGTCTTGCAGCCAATTGGTAGAGCTGACCGGTCGGCGGTCTGCCGACCAGTCAGAAACCAGCCCATCCGCTAAGTTTTTTTCAAATCTGAGTTGGGGGCTGTACTGCGCTTGCAGAGTACGGCCCAAATCCGCTGAGAAACTTTTGGGGATGGGGGGGTTGGAGAAAAGGTTAACCGACCCCCCATTTTTCACTTCAATTTATAAGAAAACCATAAGGCCATAACCACTTGTGGGGGGTTGGGGAGGTTATAGGGGGGATATGGGGGGGTATAGGGGGGTATAGGGGTGTTATAGGAGGTATTGAGGGGGGTATGAGGGTATTGCGGGCAGGTATGGGGGTGCAGATGGGGTGTATGGGGGTATTGCAGGCAGGTATGAGGGTGTTGGTCGGGTTATTGGGGGTTACGGACTCCCAGGGAAAAGAATATGGGGATTTTTTTATTTTGTTTTGCGGGGTGCCAACAACCCCCGACTGGTAGGTGCCGACCAGTGAAGGGGTGCCGACTGTTGGGGTATGCAACACTGCCCGGAAGTCGATAAATGCTGTTTCCTTTCTGCCTCAGCAACTGAATTGGTTTTTCGAAAGTCTGGAAACGAGATTGCTTTTCCAGTGAGTGAAGCGCTCTAAAAGTTCTTTTCAGAATGGTATTTGGGTGCCATGGACGATGAGATAAAATGCGTTAAGCTGTGTAGACAAATGATAGTGGATTGATTGTCGGTTATATTTCTCAAAGGATGAAAGCACAGGATGCACCTTCCTGGCACCCCCTTGCATGGGCATCCTGTGCTTTCATCCTTTGAGAAATATAACCGACAATCAATCCACTATCAGTTGTCTACACAGCTTAACCCATTTTATCTCATCGTCCATGGCACCCAAATACCATTCTGAAAAGAACTTTTAGATCGCTTCACTCACTGGAAAAGCAATCTCGTTTCCAGACTTTCGAAAAACCAATTCAGTTGCTGAGGCAGAAAGGAAACAGCATTTGAATGTGTTAGCAAAGTGAATGACATCATCTGTGAATTCGTTACAGCATGGCTGGAGAATATTCTGGAGAATATTCTTTTGAGCATCATATCCTTTTTTTACTCTTCTTAAAGAAATAGAGGGTCTCGCGTGATGCCCCCGTGCGAGACCCTTTTTCCCACCTGGGCCCAGTGCGCCACAGAGGGGAAGGCCAGTGGCCCGAATCCGCTCTGCAATTTTTTTTTGTTTTGCTGTGCGCCGAATCCGCTCTGCAATGTTTTTTGTTTTGCCGTGGGCCGAATCCGCTCTTGGAAGGTTTTTTTTTGTTTTGCCGTGGGCCGAATCCGCTCTTGGAATTTTTTTTTTTTTGTTTTGCCGTGGGCCGAATCCGCTCTTGGAATTTTTTTTTTTTGTTTTGCGGTGGGCCGAATCCGCTCTGCATTTTTTTTTGTTTTGCCGTGCGCCGAATCCGCTCTGCAATTTTTTTCGTTTTGCCGTGCGCCAAATCTGCCCTGCAATTTTCTTTTGTTTTGCCGTGCGCCGTATCCGCTCTGCAATTTTTTTTTGTTTTGCCGTGCACCGAATCCGCTCTGAATTTTTTTTTTTGTTTTGCCGTGCGCTGAATCCGCTCTGCAATTTTTTTTTGTTTTGCTGTGCGCCGAATCCGCTCTGCAATTTTTTTTGTTTTGTCGTGCGCCGAATCCGCTCTGCAAATTNTTTTTTTTTGTTTTGCCGTGCGCAGAATCCGCCCTGCAATTTTTTTTTGTTTTGCTGTGCGCCGAATCCGCTCTGCGATTTTTTTGTTTTGCCATGCGCCGAATCCGCTCTGCGATTTTTTTTTGTTTTGCCGTGCGCCGAATCCACTCTGCAATTCTTTATTTTGCCGTTGTCAACCGAATCCGCTCTGCAATTTGGTATTTTTGCCGCCGTGCACCGAATCCGCTCTGCAATTCTTTATTTTGCCGCCGTGCACCGAATCCGCTCTGCAATTCTTTATTTTGCCGCCGTGCACTGAATCCACTCTGCAATTCTTTATTTGCTGCGCCCGCACAGTTGTTGGGAGGAGTCATGCCGGGGGTAGCACTCCCCAGATGTTCAAATACAAGCACATAGCAACTCGGAGCTGATTGGCCCTAGCGGTGACCAAATGTGCAAAATGAGAATGAATTTTCCCGCCGGAAAACGGGAAAGTGCACAGTGGTCTTTTGTTCTCTTTTTGGCAGTGGCACGTGCTCAGCTGCTGGGTGAAATCACACGGGGGGCTGCACCCTCTAGATGTTCAAATACAAATGCATAGCAACTCGGGGTGGATGCAGATTTTCCTCTTTTTGGGTCGTTTCACTTGGCTCCAGCGCTGACCAAATTTGCAAAATGAGAATGAATCTCCTGCTGGAACATGGGAAGGTACACCGCGGTATTTTGTTCTCTTTTTGGTAGTGGCACGTAGCACTCAGGACATACTCACACTAGGACTTTTTAACTTGTCTAGGGACGGAATTGCTTCCACATGCATCCAGGTTGTAGAGCAAGGCCCTTAGTTTTTGTTCATCCTTTTTTTTGTCACCAGTAGATTCGTTATTCTCTCTCTTTTTTTTTTTTTACACAGATGATAGATTAGGTTTGTTATTCGGTTTTAGACTTGCCAAATATGTGCTTGACGCCGACATTGCAGTAGATTCGTTTCTTCTTCTTCTTCTTCTTTTTTGAAACGAAGCTCCAATCTATTTGTGGGGAGCACGGTTCTTCTTCTGGTCTTTTTCTGTTCGTCCTTTTTCCAGCGGAGCAGGAAAATGCGCAAAATAAGACAATCCTACGCTGGAACATGGAAAGATACACTGCCATATTTTGGTCATTTGTGCATGTGGAGATGAGCGACACCCTGCAGACTGAGGGTCTCCCTTCACTAAGATCGAATCTTCTGCTAGAACATGGAAAGATACACCGGTGTAACACCACCATATTTTTCCATGGTCCTCTCTAGTCCCTGCAGACTGAGGGGCTCCCTCTACTAAGAAGAATCTTCCGCTAGAATATGGAAAGATACACCGCCGTATTTTTGGTCTTTCCCTGGGGCGAGCCTCTGAATCCTGCACTACGGACTTGTGTTCAAAACCCCGAATGAAGCACATGCCCAGGGCAGGTCAGTTCAAATGGTGATATCTTAAGGCCCCTAAAAAAAAAATGCCTCGCCATGTATCTCGGGCCTCGCTCCACTACTCTACACATCCACAAAGGCCAAAAACTATGTAAGTGTACCTTTCCATGCTCTACCGCAAGATTCATGCTCGTTGCCCGCGGCGGCGATCCACTCGTAATTATATCATAATCATTTGAAAATATGACATGGTAAGATGTTTCCTAGTATCAACGGAGAAACAATTGATTCAAGAGAAATGCTGGAGAAAGGTTACAACGGAAAGAAGGTCGCATATCACTTAAGGGTAACAGTCAAGGGCCCAGAAATGTAAGCCGCACAACCCAGTCTAGGAGGGGATGCGAAGAGTCACAAAGGTGTTGGTAATGGTTACCGGATGAGGGTTTAGGGTTTAGGGTTTTACTGATGCTTTTTAAGGGGATTAGAAAATGGGTGGGACACTCAAGGGGAACAGTCAAGGGCCCAGAAATGTAAGCCGCACAACCCAGTCTAGGAGGGGATGCGAAGAGTCACAAAGGTGTTGGTAATGGTTACCGGATGAGGGTTTAGGGTTTAGGGTTTTACTGATGCTTTTTAAGGGGATTAGAAAATGGGTGGGACACTCAAGGGGAACAGTCAAGGGCCCAGAAATGTAGCCGCACAACCCAGCCTAGGAGGGGATTCGAAGAGCCACAAAGGTGTTGGCAATGGTTACGGGATGAGGGTTTAGGGCTTAGGGTTTTAGTG